CTTCAACAATTTTTTGAATTGGATGTGTGTTATTGATACCCATAGCCTCCCATATAATCTTTTCTCCAATAAATCTAAAAAGCTTAGAATTCCCTTGCTTTACAGTATCAATTCCTTTCTTAAAGAGATTATCTGGTCTAAAGTTTACTTCATCTTCATGCCCAATTCCAAAGTACTTCTTTTTGCCAGTAAAGCAGACGGGAAATAATACCTCTTCGTATTCCATCTTTAGATAAGAGGTTCCACTTTTTATCCTAAGATAGGTATTTATTTGATTGCGCAATTTTTTCATTACATCCATAGTAATTTTAACCATTTCAGTCCAGTACGCTTCCTTAGAAAGTTTTTTCCTGGAGAAGACTTCATCACATTTTCTAAAATATTTTTCTGGGCAGGTGAGATACAAAGAATCGGTATCACCGTATTTTATCTCAAACCCTTTCTTTGTTACAAATTCTGTAACAAGATTAAGGTTGTATTTTCCCGCTGAAGTAGTTCCTCCAACTAATTCATGAAGAAAGATAGGAGATTTAGAGTTTCTAGCTTCCCATAAAAAGTGTTTATGTATACCTTCAAAGCTCTTTGCTTTGAATCAGAATAATTATAATCGAAGCATATGGATGAATATTATGAATTTAAGCTCTCCGGAATCTTTTTGCCTCTTTTTTTAGCTGAACTTATTATCTTCCCAAGGCGGTCCCTTTTCTTTCCTAATGGGGCGAGCTGTGCTTTAAGCTCTACTCTTTTGTTAAACAAATCCTCTAGCACGACAGGATATAAACCCTTCTTTTTGAATTGATTATCATGTCTTACAGTCCAAGCTTGGACGGTGCGGTTATTAAATAGAAACTCAATCTTATGTAAAATGTTTCCATTTTTTTCCGCAATATTGGCCTCTCCATATGTTAGTATTATTTTATCTGGAGAGAGATTATAAGCTATGATGAGACTGGGATATAATGAGGTGAAATCCAATCCTGTTACAGGTCTTCTGGTTTCAATCCCCTTTTTAGGTAGAAAAACGTAGGTGCCAAGATATTTCCCTTTTTCTAAATCTTCAAAAACCCTTGCACAAAATACCATATCTCGTTTAACGGCATATGCACTGAGGAGGTTTCGTACCTTCATTCCATTTGCGTGATAGTGTGAGTCGAACAAAGATACATGAGAGATAGAAGCAATTTCTCTATAATCATTGATTACACTTAGCTTTACCATAAGCTTTTAGCAACGTAATGTGTCTATAATACAATAATTAGTTACTTCACGCATTTTTCTTGCAGTTGATGAGGAAGGGTCTTTTTTCGCCTCTGAATAGATTCTCCACATTTCATCATATAGCATGTCTACTTTAGCATCAAGACCACACTTTTTTAAGAAGAATTTGAGCGAACCTTCCTTTTCTACTTCAGTCTTAGGAAAATGTCTTTTGAGATACACTTGAACATCAATTGGTATGCATCCTAGCGGTTTAAGAAAACTAGAATAAAAATCATCTTCTGCAGTAATTTTGATCTTAATTGGATCTCCTAAATATTCTTTCTTTTCCTCTACTTCCTCACCCGACTCTATATGGTCCCTTCTTCATCAGAATTCCTTTTCTTGCCTTTCTTCTTAAAATCATTTTCAGATTTCGCTTCTATCTTTTCATAATATTTTCACTTTATAATTTCTTTCTTTTTTCAAACTTTCCTATCATTCACTCCCACATCCATTCGAGTATGTTAAGATGATATGCTCTCTCCATAATAAAATGCCAATCATAGTCAGAATCATTGAACTTAACTTGGTTATCAGGTACAAATGCTCGCCAGCAAAGAGCAAACGCTTTCAGCAGATTTTCTTGGTTTCCACATATGATTGTGATTTAGCGTGGATCTGATTCTGTCTCAACATCGACGAGACATATTTGCTTTAGTGGTTTTGGATCATCTTTCTAATGCAATGTCATGCAAATCATAAAAACATTATGATTCAGATCAAGGACTTCGGCAAATTCACCCAACTCTCGTGATTACGTCTCTATATCCCACGTGAGGACAAGAGTACAATCTCGTAAGAGAGCTGAAATAGGGAATCAGTCACTTATTGTTGTAAAATCATCTAGTGGATAGTAATCTTCTATAGATACATAGAATTCATGTCGATAGAGCGAACTGGTCTGCTTGCCTTCTTACATATATATTTATTTATTGTAGACCACCCAGAGAGTTGGATTCCGTTTTCTCGAGCCACCTTTCAGTAGAATGAGTATAAATCATCTGAAGCAGTTTTAAAATTATTATCTTGGACAGCTATAATGGCTTTCTTTCTCTCCCCAGTGCTATTTGTATAAATTCGTAAATATGGCTTTTTTTCTGTATAGTATCCGCGAAAAGGGAATGCTTTAATGTACTTCATTTTAAATGATTTCGCAGTGCCAGAGAGAATTTCGCCCACTTTTGCTTCACATTCATCAGGAGACTCTCTATCCAGTACTCGAATGTCAAAGAAAGCCTGAATGCCTACGAGGGTTACCAATGCCATTTGGCCATTAATAAGGCGACCATAAAGACGCAATACATAGCGGTATGTTTCATTTATCCTTTCAGTCGATCCTTCACTATTAATAGCTATGAAAGGAATATCTTGTTGTTTAGATAGAGTATCTTCAAGAATTGTCATTAATCTCTTATGATTTTCCGTGACTATATCATTTAGAGTTGGAAGGTCTGACGAGTATTTTTCACCAGAATAGCGAATTATTATTTATCTTTTTCAGCCTCTGGGTGAAAAAGGGCGGTGACGTCGAGGAACTCTGAAAGCTCAGATTGGGTCATGGTATTTTTTTTCAGAATATGATAACTAAGTATATCCTGAGTTTTGGTATAATACCCCAACAAAAAAGTATAAAATAAATATTATTATAAACATTAAAAAGATTAACCGACCGAAGGAAGAATAATATCAATGGGTGGTAAATACATTTGCCAGTATCCCTCTGATGAAGAAATATTTTGTGAGAATGGAAGTACACAACCAGAAGGGTGTAGTATTCACTGGAAAAGACGCCAGCGACCTCTATGCAAACAAGATGGGTGTGTAAAACCGACAGTATCAAAATATGGATATTGTAATTTGCATGTAAATAAGTCCCATTCGAAAGCAAATTATCACCAGAAGAAGTTGGCTAAGATGCTTCAGAACGGGCAGGCTCTTGATAGAATGAAAATGCCTAATACTATAAGTTAGCCCTAATGACTTATCGAAAATTTGGCCTCATGAAAAATTTATAGGAACGGTAAAAAAACTTAACAAGAATGCTGTTAGTATAGCAAACTGGGAATTTTAGAACTCTGGGAAGGCAATTTTACTACTTGTCCCTATATCCCTATGAGTCCCTATGAATTTCTGAACTCTTTACCTTTTTTTATTTTTTTTTTTTAGCATATATGTATCATGCATATGTCATATATGTATCATACTATATCGCATATAAGCCATAGGGATACCATAGAAAAATTTTGATTTTTTCCTAGAACTTTTATATTTCATAGGGACTTATAGGGACATAGGGACAAGTAGTAAAGAACTCAATAAATCAGGCTAAGAAATACAAAAATGATATCGAGATTGTCCCTATGAGTGTCCTCATGAATTTTTCTTATAGGAACAGAGAATTTTTATAGGGACGCTCATAAAAATAGCGTACTCATTACCTCAACCGGATCGTGTCACTAGAAAAAAAAAGCTAGTGACAGAAGCTAGTAATCCCTGATTTTCCCAAAACACTAAAAAATAGTTGAGGTATACATGTTGACAGTAGGAAAAACTTTATATACTCCAATATAATTTCGGAATCTTTATATAAAATAATGGAAGAAGGTCCCATCTTTCTAGACATTTATTTGGGTATAGTATAAATGGGCTGGCCACAATAATACATATCACACCTCCAATCTCGAACGTGAAATCGGCATACATATACTGGCAACAAATAGGCAATAGTTGCTTTGGTTGCAAGATGCGCACTTCTGGCAAACAAATGGGCTGGCCATAGATGTAAAAAAAGACGTATATTAAACTAAAAAGTAAATCGTAAATAAAAGGCAAGCAAATATACAACTGAAAGATAACAAATGTGTTACTAGTTCTGTCACTAGTTTTGAATACTAACTTAAGACACTAGTGCCATATTTATTTCTTATAAATTCATTATCACATATGATGACATATGGTATCTTCCTAATCGAGGCAATGAGTCAGGTTCTTGAGAAAATCCGTTAACATTGTTAACACTTTTTATATTACGTGATAATTCAGAATTTTTTTTTACCATATTTCAACATTCTGGCCGACACTATTCTGTATTTTTTTCCTTTTTTTTACGCTACTTTGGTACCTAGAAAGGCAACTAAATAGGCGCAAAAGGAAAACACTCTAATATAGAATCCAGCATCCAATCAGACGTAGGAAGCCAGCATCTTCAATATAAAACTAGGTATCCAAACAGCTACAGAGGGTCAATAGCTCCCATTATAGAATTTAGTATGTAAATGACTCAGAAACAAGAAGAAAGCAGTCACCATTAGATCGTGATATCACCATTAAATTAAAGCACAACCATCCACCGTTAGACTATGAATCACCACCATAATATACAGGAAATAATTAAAAATAATAATATAAACGCAAAGAAGTTACCCATAAGTAGGTTATGAAATCATCATCAGATTATGAATAGTAAGTTATGAAGTTACAACCAGATTATGTAATTAGATTATGAAATTACTGGCAGACTATAAAGCCATCACTATATTATGAAGCTACCAACAGACTATAAAGCTACCACTATATTATGAAGCTACCAACAGACTATGAAGTTACTATTATATTATGAAGATACCGGCAGACTATGATATTACCTTCATAATCTAATCTAAGTCGCCAGCAACTTTACGATATAATTATATCGTGAAGTTATTGGCGACTCCATCACAAGATACTGTAAATGCAATATCTCATTGATCACTAAAGAAATCTTTTTCTAATAAATCTTTATACATATTTCCGTCAAAAATATCTTCTAAATCTTCAGATTCAATCTCCTTATTAGTAATATATCGATATCGATAAAGTAATTCTTCAGCCCTTATTTTATTATTATATTGAATCTCCAATCTCTTTTTAATAGAAAGATATGGCATTACTTTTTTAGATTTATTTTTTGAATCATATCTTAATGAATTACATAATGGACAACTTTGATAAGTTTCATAAAGTCCAGTATAACATATACAGGAATTTTCACACATATCATAAAATTTTGGAATAAGTCCTGTAATTTCTTCTAATATTT